TTTTTTTGAAAATAGGTAATGGATAATCACGTTTTATCATTGTCCTTACTACCATTATTTTCCATAAAAATATGCTGTGCAAGCAATGAATGCACAAGACTTATGAAACAAGGCTGAGCTTTAATTCGCGACCAATTATTTGCCGGTTTCTTGGTCCAGTTTCCACCAGAATTCCACACAATCATCTTTCTCCTTTCGATCCTTTCTCTTCGCTTACTCTACCTCATTCGATTCTCCTTCACATTCTAGAATCTATATATTTCCACATTCAATACTCTCGGATTCCTAGGTCTCCATTCCAAGATGTCGACTTCGGAAGAGGTAACGGCAAATAAACACGTGGAATTGCCGACGCCGACCGCCCCGCCTGCTGCCGACGTGGAAAACCAGAGCTCCGGGATGGGGTTCGGTGTGTCAGCGATCGTACGGCGTTGGAAGAGGGATGATTTGATGAAGAAAGGGTCTCTGATTTTGAGGGGATTGGCTCTACTCTTCTCTCTGCTTTCTCTTCTAATCATGGCGTGTAACAAGCACGGCGACTGGAAAAATTTCGACAAGTACGAGGAATACAGGTAACACGAAAAATTCTATCCAAAGATTAAAAATTTCGGTTTGATTCAATCTGGGTTTTGTTAAATTCTGCAAATATTATTCTGGGTTTTTTAGGTATCTGTTGGCGATTGCGATTCTGTCGACTCTGTACACAGGAGGACAAGAGTTGAGACATGTCCATGAAATCTCGAAAGGGAAAAAGATGTTCGACATTCGGACATCTGCCATGGTCGACTTCTTCGGAGATCAGGTTGGTCTATTTGTCTTTCTCGTTAACTTCCACAAATTCATTATTTTCTCTGTTTGGTTCCTGAGAAAGGACAAGAAAATGGTCTGTCCGACCTTCTCTCGCTGGCATCACTTGGTTTTGAAAGTTCATATTTTCTACCTTTTTCAGGTTGTAGCATATCTGCTGATATCAGCGGCATCCGCTGCAGTTCCATTGACGAACAACTTGAGAGCATCGCAAGATAACATTTTCACAGATTCCTCAGCCTCCGCCATCAGCATGGCTTTCTTTGCATTTTTTGCTTTGGCATTATCGGCTATGGTGGCAGGATATAAACTTTCATCCCAATCTTACATCTGAATTTGCCTTCTAATAGCTTGTGAGATACTTTTTTCCTTTTAGTGATTTTTATGTATTAAACTCATTGGCTTCATTTGTTCAGTAAAAACTAAAAAGTTCTATTGTGTGTAAATTCATGTATTTACAATAAGTGATTTGTAAGAAGAGGAAAAATTACTTGATATGTAATCTTGGAATATCTTGAAACATGAATGAATTGAGGTTTGGTCTGTCTGAATTTAGATAAAGCGTCAAAACAAATGAACAAATGGACAAACTTTGTCTGAATATCTGTGGCGAGTTCTAGGATAGGAATGACTCAAGAAATTCTTCATCGTTGGATTCTTCCTTAGATCTAATAAATGCTACATCTGAGAATTGTGTTTGGTTCATGAAGGAACCAATTGGCTTCTCAAATCCTGGGAATCCAAACCCAGATGGGTTCTGCAGCATTTCCAGGGTGACCTGTGCTTGACTTAGTGGCGCTGGGAGTCTTTGCCTAAGGGAGTTGGAGAAACTTGGCTGAGTGGGAACAGCAGAGGGCCTTATGGGCATTGGCATATTGGTGCTGTTGCTAATATTGGAGGAAGATCCATTCATGGCATATCCGCTGCCACGAGGTGCAGGAACATCATGGTTGTGTTTCCCTTCATAAGTGGTGATTACGGCCCTAGTATCATGAGATGCTCGCTCAACATGCTTCCTCACCGGACAGTTAATTGTTGTACATTTATAATAGCTCCTGCAGAGTGGATAAAATGGAAAAACAAACTTCAGTTAAACCAAATTACATTTTTCTACCACAAGCATCTTAAGGGGCCTAATTGAAAAACACCAAAATTACCTGGGATTGGGATTTCCCCTAACCACTTTCTGCCCATATTTTCTCCATCTATATCCATCATCAAGTATATCAATGTCACTTGTAGTTTGAACCACAATTCTTGGTTCCTTTACAGTTCTGCTCCCAGAACCCATAATTCCTTCATTTTCATTCTCACCCTTGCTGAAAACGAAGAAAGCCACATAATTAAAACAACACCAAAGCATCATATAAGTATTTTGATTCTTTATTTCAAACATCAAAAGCTTACCATCTTTTGGCACCTGGTTCATTTTCATTCTCATCTTCTTGATTACTTATCGGTGATCCTTGTTCAAAAGCATCATCCCCTTTTGAAGCTGAGGTATCCTCTTGCATCACAAAGGAGTCTGTTGGGTCATTGCGTAATGTACCAACTGATTGTTCTGACATCTCCGAGGTGGTGACTGCAGAATGAGAGGAGGATCTTCTTCTAGACAGAGGTTTGGGATGGTTGTGACTCCCTTTATACACAATTTCTGTTATATGTCCATCCAAAGATCTCTCAACCTTCTTCTTTGTAGGACAATTCGGATACGTGCACTTGTAATAACTCCTTGGATTTTCACTTCCTTTCACTTGTTTCTCTCCATACTTTCTCCAGTTGTATCCATCATCTACCTTTCTCTTCACCTGAGAAGGTTGAGTGTGATTGCTGTAAGCAGATTCAGAACCTCCTTCACCCTGCAATGGGACCATCCCTGAAGAGAAGCCTTGAATTTGTTCAACCTCTGATTTTTCTCTAGTTTTATCTAGTGAAAGATCAGGTTGATTCATGTCCTTACTCAAGTTCCACGTTGGTTGTTCCTGTTTAGCATAAAAGGAAAAATTTTTTATTAATCAATATATAATAGCCCAACACAATCCCAGAAAATAGCAGTGGGAAGAAAACAAAAACAAAATAAATAAACAAATTAAAGTACAGAAAAATGTGAGAGATTTTTAGAATTAGAAGTGGTACCATCATAGAGATAATGTTTGAGGAAGATTGGAAGGTGGATGATGTTGAAGTTGCAGGAGGCCTGGGATGGAGCTGAAAGCAGAAATCAAGGTAATTACTTTGTTCCCTCTTGGTATCTTGTTGAACGCCAGTAGTAGGAGGAGGAATAATCTGTTGAAACACAATAGAATTAATTAATTTCATCACAAATTCAATGCAGTAAGCTTGATTTCAGGGTTAAAAACTCACATTTGAAGTGGAGAAAAAAGCAGGGGAGTCCAGGAAAACAGAAGGGCTGAAAGCAAGAGGGGTAGTAGCAAGATAGGAATAAGGTGAAACAGGGGACGGGGAGATGGGTAGTGAGGAGGGAGCGAAAGACTTGAACTTTGCGATTTCAGTGGCATATTTGTCATCAGCTACTTCAACAGAAAATCCCCGTGTGATCGAATTGCTTCTGTCTTGATTAAAATTGTCCATGTTCATGAAACAAGAAGGGGTGGAAAACAAGGCTGCGGGTTCATAAGAAGAGGTGTGTTTGGGATATATATATATAGAAGTTAAAAGTGATAGTAGTGGTAGAAGGACCGGAGGAACCAGGAGGAAGGGTGGGTGAAACGGGGATGGCGAGGAGGCTATAAGGAAATTTGACCATGGAAATAAAATTCCTGGTCAAAGCTTGTGGGTTTGACTTGACTAAGCCATTTATCCCACCTTAGCCCAAAAATAAAGACAAAAAATAAAAAGACATTTAAATCACCTGTATTAATTTAAAGGTCATGATTTGTTTTAACTTTGAATTAATGCAGGTCGTGAAATTCGAAGTCCAAAATCTGGTTCCATCGTGTAGTGGTTAGCACTCTGGACTTTGAATCCAGCGACCTGGGTTCCACTCCCGGTTGGACCTTAATTACTTTTCTGGACCCCAGAAGCAAGCGTTCATAATCTGATAAAAAGCCAGTAAAACCTAGGAACAGAGAAAAGTATTTTCTTGCACCTGGACCAACCTGGCACGATAGCTCTATGTCTCGTTGAAATTGCATTCCCAACTCCGATGTAATCCATTCAAGAAAAAAAAAGAAAAAAGAAGCATTATCTTTTTCTTCAAAATATTAACTTCTCATTGTTTTTCGAGGTTCCGTAGTACAAATTTCAAATTACAACAGAGGGTGTACTGGTATAGCCAGCCACCCAACACCAACACTTGCATGGATTATATCCTATAGATGCTATGCTCTATGGTCGTCGGCCAATGAGCCTTTGGTTCAATGCCAAGCACATGCCTTTGTAGCATGGGAGTTGCATATAAGCTGATAGGAAACCGTCTTTTGGTTCCCTGCAAAGGGCCAGATCCCTTAGAGGTGCCTCCGGACCTTACCATGAGGCACCAGCACCAAGACCCACCTTTGTGGTGGGGGAAGGGTCTAGTTGGTATAGAATATTGTAGGTAGAATATGATGAAAAATCCATGACTAATTGTGAACTTCGTGGTTCATGGCACGGAATTTGAATTTTATTAGTGATGGCTAAGCCGCTGACTTCCCAACCCATAAGATCTTCAAGAATCTCTACTCCACTTCTGTATCTTCCAATTTTAATTTCCAGCACTTTGGATCTAATTCAGCCTGTCAATTACAAAGTAAGATTTCCTCAAATTAAATTTCTATAATGATGATCATGATGACAATGCACTTTCTCTATCCAAATGTCCCCAAAATAAATGCTTGTTTTTTGGTTCTCCAAAAATGATGGAATTAATGGAGTGACTGATGAAAGATGGCTACTGCAGAGAATAGAAATGTTTTGAAAATGAATTACACAAGCCAACCTTTGAAAAGAATGAGATATACCTGAAGCACTTTGTCTCTCCACTGAAATATGCAGCCACGTGCTTCTAAATGTTCAAAAATAGGTTGGGGTAGTGACCATTTGAAGGCAGACTGGAGCTTCACTTTGGTTAGCCCCCTACAAGCCAGCAAGGCAGCTGCTAGCCCATTTGGTGTCAAGCCTTTCAAGTGCAAGATTGTGATGTTCTGTAGGCAGCTGATGCTCGCCAGGGATAAAAGACCCACATCCGTAACAGAGCTATATGACAAATTTATCTACAAAGAAAACAATGAATCCCCATTAGCTGGAAATTAATTTTTGGTTTTTATGTGCTAGAGTTTCGGGTGAAAAAGAGAAGAATGTACCTGTCTAAGGTTCTGAGAAAAATGAGCAAGTTGAAGCATCCCATTATCATCAATGTTGTGGCATTTCTTGATGTCTAGCTTGGTTAGCTGTTTACATCCCACAGCAATGGCTGTTAGGCCAAAAGATGAGATCAGAGGACAGCCCCGACTTTCAAATGTCCTCAAGTGTGAGCATTTCGATAACAACAATAAGGAAGCATCTGTAATCTCTTTACAATAGGCTACATTAATCATCTCCAGGTCACGGCAACCACGAGCAACTTCCAAAATACCCAAATCCGTTATACCTACTGACCTGAAAGCAATAGAGAGTCAGAAGAAAACTAAAATAAAAATAATCCCAAAATGGTTTTTTAGTTGATTTAAATGACAAACCTGTACAGATCTAGCTCTTTAAGTTTTGAGCAGGTCCTGCCAACGTGGATTAATCCCTCATCAGTTATGTTAAGGCAAATTCCTAATTTTAAAGTAGAGAGTTTTGAACATCTGGAGATGGACTTCAAACCTGCATGAGAACATGTATAAGCAAACAATTAAATCCAGTTTTTCCAATTTACAATGGTACACTTTATTTTTAGAGAAGGAAATACCTTCATCATCAATTTCATTATCTGTAAGGTCAAGCTCTTCAAGCGAATGGCACTGCTGTCCAATCAAGACGAACGCTTCTCTAGAAATTAGGGTGCAAGACTCCATCTTAAGAGAAGTGAGAGAGTTGCACAAATTTGCAATATAGGCAATAGAAGCATCAGTGATCTTGCGACAACATGTAATATCTAACTTCCTCAAGTCTCTCCGTTTTGTCAAAACAGAAGAGAGACCTTCATCAGTCACCCCTGGACATTTACTTAAGCTCAACTCCCTTAGCGATATGCACCAATCAGCAATTGACTTCAATCCATCACAGGTAATTAAGCTACCATCTAGTTTAATTGATTGCAACATTGAAAGCTTTTTCAAACCATCAGCAAAGGCAGCAGTGACCTGAAGTATAATCATCACTAAATCGTAAACACTAAAAACTCAACTATGAGAAAGCTCTTCAAATAGCAAGCAGTAAACTCTAGTGAAAAACCTTACCGGTGAACCATAGGCTAAGGTTAGTTGCTGAAGACCTTCGGTACCACTTATCAGGGAAGACAAACCACTGTGACTAATATTCTGACAACTAGACATATCGAGACTCTGTTAAAGGGAAAATTAAAAGGATGTGTAAGATAAATAATTCAAGTAGATACAAAAAGAAACCTTCAATCAGTCAGCAGAAAACACCATCCATGATTGATTCCTATTAATTTGGTTGGAGAATTAAATCATCTACAGATCAAGTTGAGTGAACCAACCATAACCTCCAAAACTACTGCAAACTAAGCACCTTAACAACCACCATTATGCATATTAACAAATACGCCAAAAAAAAGAAAAAAACCTACTAGTAATCACAAATTTCTTCTATTTCTGTATCAGGAAATAGAACTTCCCACAAATGCATACCTTTAAAGACTTGCATCTATGTTTGAGGCCTCCAAGGCTGTCATCATCAATACCAAAGCATCCCTCCAGAACCAGATCTTCAAGATATTGTAAATTCAGGATAGATGGTAAGCATTTATTTGTAATCTGCACAGCATAAAACAACAAACAAAAATGAATCTCTTTTGAAGCTTGTGGCAAAATTGAAATTGAAAACTAACAGAGTAATAATTAAAAAAAGAAAGAAAGAAAGAAAGTTTATTCCTTTTTAAAAAATTATTCAGCCTTTAAAGAAAGATAGAAGAGCAACTAGCTAGAAGGACTCATTCAAGCAGAATTCCAGTTTTCAGAGGGTGGAAAAATGAAATTTCAGATTATGGAAAACAGAAAACAAAGGGTTACCGGCAAGTATGAGAGATCCAAGCAGCGAATTTCCTTGCACTTGACTGCCACTAAACCAACGCCCAAGTCACCCACCCCTAAGCACCATTTCAAGCTAAGAAGCTTCAACTTTTTACACCCAACTGCGACACACCCAACCCCCATATCCGTAATCGACTTACACCTTGCCAACCACAACTTCTCCAGATTCCTGGCCTCTGCAATAGCCGCCATAGCCGAGTCCTTCAACTCTGTTCCGTTCGACAAGTTAATCTCCACAAGATTCTTACAATTCACAGCCAAACCCAGCAACCCAGAACTTGAAAGAAGCCGACTTTGTGAAAAATCAATGGAACGAAGATTAGACGGGCACGCATTCGAAATACTGGAAAGAGACGCGTCGGAGACTCGAGCGCACAGAGTTAAATCAAGATGGCTGACGTACGGGTAGCGCGAGAGAATTGCCGGGAGGAACTCTTGCCGGAGCGGCCTCAGGGTCTTCCGGTGTTTTGACTCAGTGGCGTAAATCGACTTGCAAACCAAGGAAAACGCTTTCTTGTCAAGTGGGTTCTGCTCGAGGAGGTCCAAAACCAAGAAAATTATCTCTTCGGAGAGAACATCAAAGGGATTGGAGGGTTCAGAGCACTCCCGCTTCTGCCTCTTCATTGTTCCGGTGAGAATTCAGAGGTCGGAGGCAGGTTTCGTAGGAGTTGCGGAAGTAGATTGCGTCTATTATGTACGTAGGGAAGGTTTCGGCGGATTTCTTGGGGATTTTCCAAGGCACAGATGAAACCATTAACTGAAAAATAATGGAGTTGGGTTGGGCAGTTGAAGAAGAAGAATAATTAAATTACGGTTATAGGCTCGCGGGACTTTCCGAAAGGTATTTTCACTGCTATTTCTGATGGCGTATGTTCCTTTGAAAGGACAAAATTGCCACTCCCTCCCACAAGCTGCTAAAGGTGTTTCTGATGGCGGGATTTTTTTTTTAACTAATAAGAAAATAAATTTATTTAATTTATACCTTAAATATAATTTTTAATCTATTAATTATGTAATTAAATTT